AAATCGTTTTTGCTCCAGGGGCTTAAAAACGATTTGTTCGGGCCCAACAAATCGTTTTTGCCCCCGGGGCTTAAAAACGATTTGTTCGGGCTAAACAAATCGTTTTTGAACCCCGGGCCTTTCATGCGTGGAGATTGATGTTGGGCTGGATTCGCGGAACACTGGAGGAAGGGCGCGGAAGGACCGCGGAAGGGTTCCGTGATTTGGATGACTTGTGTGCGATGTGTTGTTCTCGTTGGCCCTGTGCGGGAATCGTAGCCGCGGTGTGTCGTGAGGCTTCACGTTTGCGTTGCAAATCTATTGGAATTCGCGTTTCCGGGCTCGTCGTGACCCATAAACCATTTGCTACAGCCGTCTACTGCTCGCAACAGAAACTGGATGGCTCCACGTTGTATAAGGATGTCTCAAGCACAGGCTCGCAATCTCTTCAGGGCTTCCCCAGCATGGCTGTTTCACTTACCTGTTTCTAGCGTCCAAGCCTTTAGTATCACCAGCTATGCCGCCACATCCAAAGCCATGGGCCGATCTGGCCTCATCTTCTCGTGGATCTAGTTGTGTTGGCTTGGCAAGAAAGAGACGCAAGCCGCGGAAGGCGCGGAAGGGAAACGCGCGGAAGCACGCGGAAGCGCCAAATGACATCATCGCAATTTGGACTATTGATTTTGATCACCCCTCAAATGACAAGGGAAGGAATAAGCCCGCAAGAAAAAATGCGCGCGCGTGTGGCAGGGGAAGAGAAAGTCGCAAAAGCGTGGCCCTGTGCGTGAATCGGCAGTTTCGAAGATGAGAAAGTCGCAAAAAGCATGGCCCTGTGCGCGAATCGGCGTCTCCGGAGATGCGAAAGCTAGCCTGTCCGCGGCGTCTGGTCGGAGCTGTCTCGGAGCGGGCTCGGAGCGGGCTCGGATCACGTTCGGCTCCGGGCCCATTGGCACGGCAACACAGAGGTTTCGCAAGGTTTGAACTGCGTGGCAGGCACAGCATTTTGGCAAGGTCGGGTGCAGATTTCGTGGCAGGCGCAGCGCTTTCGCAATGTCAAGTTTTCCCTGGGTTTGAATTGCGTGGCAGGCGCAGCACTTTCGAACGCACCAAGTACAGAATTCGTGGCAGGCGCAGCACTTTCGCAAGGTCAAGTGCATAATTCGTGGCAGGCGCAGCACTTTCGCCAGTTTAGGTACAGGTCGATAGATAGATAGATAGATAGGTAGATTAGATAGAAAGTAGATAGTTAGAGAGATAGATGGATAGATAGATAGATAGATAGAGAGATAGAGAGATGGAGAGAGAGAGAGAGATAGACAGATAGAAAGATAGAAAGAAAGATAGTAGAAAAGATAGATAGATAGATAGGTAGAGAGATACATAGATACACGAGAGATAGATGGAGAGAGAAAGAGAGAGAGAGAGAGAGAGATGGATCAAGAAAAATGCGCGCGCGTGTGTGGCAGGGGCAGAGAAAGTCGTAAAAAGCGCGGCCCTGTGCGTGAATCGGCGTTTTCGAAGATAAGACAGTCGCAAAAAGCATGGCCCTGTGCGATGAATTGACATCTCCGGAGTTGCGAAAGCTAGCCTGTTCGCGGCATCTGGTCGGAGCGGGCTCGGAGCATGCTCGGAGCATGCTCGGATCACGTTCGGCGCCGGGCCCATTGGCACGGCAACACAGAGGTTTCGCAAGGTTTGAATTGCGTGGCAGGCGCAGCCTTTTGGCAAGGTCTGTTGCAGATTTCGTGGCAGGCGCAGCGCTTTCGCAAGAGTTTTCCCTGGGCTTGAATTGCGTGGCAGGCGCAGCACTTTCGAAAGGTCAGGTACAGGTTTTGTGGCAGGCGCGGCACTTTTGAAAGGTCAGGTACAGATTTCGTGGCAGGCGCAGCACTTTCGCAAGGTCAAGTACAGAATTCGTGGCAGGTGCAGCACTTTCGACAGGTCAGGTACAGATTTCGTAACAGGCGCAGCACTTTTGCAAGGTCATTTGCAGAATTCGTGGCAGGTGCAGCACTTTCGCAAGGTCAAGTGCAGAATTCGTGGCAGGCGCAGCACTTTCGCGAGGTCAAGCGCAGAATTCGTGGCAGGCGCAGCACTTTCGCAAGGTCAAGTAAAGATTTCGTGGCACGCGCAGCACTTTCGCGAAGTCAACTTTCGCACGCAGCCGGGGCTCGAAAATCGCAATTTTTAAGTACGAAAGTAGCACGCGCTGGGGCTTGAAAATCGCAACTTTTAAGTACGAAAGTAGTATGCAGTCAAGTCACACTTTCGCAGCCGGGGCTCGAAAATCGCAACTTTTAAGTTCGAAAGTAGTACGCGAAGTCCACTTTCGCAGCTGGGGCTCGAAAATCGAAACTTTTCAGTACGAAAGTAGTACGCGAAGTCCACTTTCACAGCTGGGGCTTGCAAATCGCAACTTTTAAGTACAAAAGCAGTACGGAAGTCCACTTCCGCAGCTGGGTCTTCAAAATCGCAACTTTTAAGTACGAAAGTTGTACGTGAAGTCCAATCGCCACTTTTAATTGCAAAAGTGTACGCGAAGTCAACTTTCGGGGCTTGAAAATGATACAGATATAGATAGAGAGATAATTAGATAGATAGATTAGCAGACTGATAGATAGATAGACAAATAGATAGATAGAGAGAGAGAGAGATACACAAATAGAAAAAGAGATAGAGAGATAGATAGATAGATAGACAGATAGATAGGTAGAGAGGTACATAGATAGATAGGTAGAGAGAGAGATAGAGAGACAGATAGAGAGATGGATAGATAGAGAGATAGAAAAGTAGATAGAGAGATACAGAGATTGATAAATTCACGAGAGATAGACAGAAAGATAGACAGATAGAGAGATAGAGAGATAGAGAGATAGACAGATAGAAAAAGAGATAGATGGAGAAAAAGAAATAGGTAGATAGATAGAGAGATGGACAGATAGAGAGACAGATGGATAGATAGATAGATAGATAGATAGATGCGCGGGAGATAGATGGAGAGATAGATAGATAGATAGAAAGAGGGAGAGAGTGATAGAGAATGATAGAGAGATAGATAGAAAGAAAGAAAGAAAGAGAGATAGAGAGATAGATAGAAAGAAAGAGAGATAGACAGATAGATAGAGAGAAAAACAGATAGATAGATAAACAAGCAGAAGATAGATAGACAGATTCATAGATAGATAGATAGATAGAGAAATAGATAGATACATAAATAGAGAGATAGAGAGAGAGATAGATAGATAGATAGGTAGATGGATAGAGAAATGGAAAGATTGATAGATATATTTTTAGATAGCTAGATAGACAGATAGAGAGAGATAGAGGGATAGAGAGATAGATAGATAGATAGAAAGAAAGAGAGATAGAGAGATATGTAGATATATATATATAGATAAGTAGATAGATAAATAGATAGAGAAGATAGATAGAGAGATAGATAGATAGATAAGCAGATAGATAGCTAACACGAGAGCTAGAAATATTGGATCGATAGATAGGTAGTTAGGTAGATAGACAGATAAAGACAGAAAGAAAGATAGATAGATAGACAGGTAGATAGACAGAGAAGAGACAAAAGAAAGAACAGCAAAAAACAAGCTAACGACAGAAAGAAAGAAAAGACAGATAGAAAGAAGGAACGAAGGGAGGAAGGAAGGAAAGAAAGGAAGAAAGGAAGAAGAAGAGAACAAGAGTCAAGAAAAGAAAGAGAAAGATAACTATAGTTTTTATATGTTTGAAACTTCCGCCCACCGGCTTCGCCGGCTCTACTGGTATGTATTGCAGGATTTCACGTGACTTACGGGCCCACCCACCTCTTGCATGCTCGAAGAGAGCTGGTGGACTCATTGTATTTGGACGTTGATTTCCGTTTAGTTCCCATTTGCAGTCCTTCCCCTTAATTCCCTTCATTTCCCTTGTCAAGGGCTTCTTGTGATTTCTCGTCACAAGCTTGCAAGCTCTGCCGCTTGAAGTGTGGATGCAAAACTGGCCAGCGCAGGCAGAATAAATCCACGAATGTTTGGACACGGGAGCGAGCAGCGTCCAAAACGCAGTGAGTTTTACGGTGCATCGCATCCTCGCAATCAATGCCTGGGTGGTCACCAGAGATACGCGCGCCCCTCCACATGGTTTTCATTCAGTAGGCTCTTTCAATGCCAGGTTTTGAACCCTGATTCAAGTCGAATGCCTGACCGCTACCCCCTGACCTCAACGTCTAAACCTCGAACCGCTACCACAACCTTCTTCCTGTGGTTATGCGCTTGTTTGTCTCAAAGAAGCAGCAAAGCTCAGGCTTCAGCATTTGCCTGAACCAATGCTAGGGATGCCGGGGATGCTAGGGAGCCGGGGATGCAAGAGCTGGCTCCTTGGAAAGCCGGAAAGAAAGGCAGCCTTCGCATCCCCAGCTGCAAGTGTCTGGGATGGCTGGGAATGCTGGAGGAGATGCAAGTTCTTGGGAGGTTAGAGGTGAGGGTTGGAGGCACGAGGCAGGGTTAGAAGTTGGAGGGTCAACTTAGAAGGTCATGTCGAAAATCCCCACCCCTCTCAAGCTCACCCGAACCACCGCTTGGCACAAACCTCGCCCCTTTGAAGAGACTAGCGTGGCTTTTGCAAAGGGGCCGGTGGATCCCTCAAACATGTCAGAGTTCGTCCAGAGCGGCAACATCAGCTGAATGCTTTCAGTCCAGAGCAATGACAGTGTTCGAAAGTATAATGTTTTTTTCTGCGCAGAACTGAAGACGCCATTGAGTCATATTGCGTCATATTGAGTCTTTGAGTGGGGCACGTGAAAGCATCCACACGTTGTCCATCGCTGCCCAAGCAACATCGCGAAAGCAGAAAAGGCATCCGTTGGATGGAGAGTTTCTCTTCGAACTCCCCTCCTTAGAACTCCTTCTCAGCTTATTCTCTTCTTGTTCGTCTCATTTCTCTTTCAAGTCTCCGGTCTCTCTATCTCCTCTCTCCTCTCTCTCCTCTCTCTCCTCTCTCTCGTCTCGGTTGGTTTCCTGGTTTCCTGGCAGGCCCGTGTTCAAGAACTGCAGCGAGTCGTTGGTCATGCTCTGCATCTGCGAGAGGTCTCATTGGACGAGTTCGCTGTGGCTGCCATTCTCGCAGTTCATCGCGCGAGTCACATGGCCCGGCCAAAAAGTGGCGCCCAATGCGGAAGTTCCATTGCCTCAGCGACCGTGTGTGGTGCGCGTGTACACGGGCCTGGTATTCGGATGGGGTGGCTTCTTTGAAAAAGCTTGCTGCATGCTAGAGCCGGGGGAGCAAGTGGAGTACGACGGCGGGATCACCTGGTCGAGGCCCAAAACCTTCGGATCCTTCGGATCCTTCGGCTTCTCCTCATCCTTCAAACGAGAAAAAAGGAAAAAAGATGAAAGGAACAAATTAGAGGAAAGAAGGTGTCAATGCGTCAGCCCGTGATTGCACAATGTAGTTTGTTGCAGTTTGCCGTGTTTTGTCGCGTTTGCTGTTTTTGTTTGCCCTTGCATGCCCTTGCCTCCCGCTCCGGACCCTGGCCCAAGACCTGACCAATGGGCGGCAGAGCAGGACACTTTCAGAGCAGGTTTGCTGACAACTTGCTGATGGCTTGCACCCTGAGGAGTTTGCCTTCGAGGCGATGAGGAAGGCACAGATGAGGACGCTCAAATTTAGGCTTCTGCAATTGCTGATAAACAAATGCAAAATGTTGTTCTGGTATGATGATGCACGTGGCAAGGAAATCGGAGAGCGCAGCCCGGTGACGCAGAAGAACTGCAGTGCCTTGGGCGCGATTTGGATGCCACATTTTGATGTCACATGGCGTGACTGCCGTGAGGGGATGGCCTGGCCATGGGGAACCTGGCCTGGTCCAGCGCAGAGATGCAGGTCGCGGCCTAGGCTGACGTCCTTGGACTGTTGTCCCGCATATGGCATATTGCAGCTGTGAAACAAGGCGTGAAATACTCCATTTCTTAGGGCTGGCGGGAGTCCATGGAAGACGCACACCTGGCCATATCCTGTTTGCGCGAAGTCGTTGTGCCAGGAGCCAAGAACGTTTGTCTCATGTTGTGATTGATTTGGTATATCAGAACGGTTGTATATTTTTCATGGCTAACGGGGTCTAGAGGTCGCAGAACCAAGCGGCCAGCGTGGACATGGGTTGGAACATCGGCCTTTTCGGCGTCCTGGATGGCCATGGCGGCTTTCAGGCCCCGGAATCGTTCCATTCCCATGCCGAGCCCGGATCCGTGAGCTTCCGTTTTTTCCTTGCATGCATCATGTTGCCACTGTTCGGTTTCTCCATTTTCCGGGTTTCCGAGTGTCAGTCGAGGTTGCTAAATTCTGCGAACGCCGGCTGCCAAGCTCCCAACACGGCATTGCAGCATGGCAGACTCAGGACACTTGCCCGAAGCCATCGCATCGAGGACCCGAACACAAACACATTTGCAATTGTCTCCAAGCACGCATGACTTCTCTGAGTTCGAAGCATCCAGAACCTGTTTTTGAGGCCGAGTGCGAATATGGCCGTTGACTCGGAGTGGACACCTGGCACGCCTGTGCAAAGCACCGCCTGAGGGCGCTGCCATGGCCGAGGCAGCTGGCACCTTACACGATTGCAAATGTGACTCATGGATCGTGGCCATTCCTGCATTGCATTGCTTTGCAAGATGCATGTTGAGTTACCAAGTTCGTGGAGATGGATCAGCAGCTCAAGGCACGCAGTTCTTTCTGGTCCTAGATTTGCTGTCTCGCACAATTGCAGGGAGCAGAAGGATTGAAGGAGCTGAGGAGGCGCATGGATCGGGATCAGGAAGACGGGCCTGGCAGGCTTCGTGCCTTGAGCTATCCGGCGCGACGCGCTTCCTCTCTCAATGGCTCGGTTGTCCCAAGCCATTGGATTCCAATTGGACACTGTGTAGAGGGCAAAGGCCTGCCGTGAAGCAACGATCGCCAGAACTCCCACTCAGAATTATTGGACATAGACAGGGCAGTTTGCAAAAATGCGGGCTAGCGCAAATGAGAGAGCTTGGCACAGGCTATCCGCTCTTGCCAAGTCTATCAGGAGCACGTCGAATAGCAAAATCGTTTTGCCTCTGCATGTGGAATCAAGATGCGACGCAGGATTCGCCGACAAACTGCTGAAGGCATGGGCACAACTGCAGTGACTTGGCTCGCAGCTCCTGACTCTTTGCGTGTTCTGCGCATATGCCAGGCGCCTTGTTCTACCATGCGTTTCCGGTTACCGTCGCAGAACAAGGTCGTGTGCTGTGTGGGCCCCACGACGCTGGTCGTGGCCAACGCTGGGGACAGTCGCGCGGTGCTCTGCCGCCGGGGCCAAGCTATCGACCTCTCACAGGCTGGACGCGCACAAGCAAAGGAAGCAACGCATGCTCCACGCGGGGCTGCTTTATTCACACGCTGACGCGACACAGCCGGCCCCCGGGCACCCTTCCCTTCCCTTCGTTTTCTTCCCTCAACTTTTCCCTTCATCTCCGTTTAGTTCCCATTTGCGGGCCCGGCCCCGGCTATGTAGTAGCCACCCGTAGTACGCAGGACAGTAGCACTTGTTTTATCCATGTTGGTATAACCTCGGGTTTCTTTGCATGGCTCGGTGTTCCATACTGCCTAGGCGACCCCTAGTTTCTATCCTTTTCTCGCACCCCCCTGTTTCCCCTTGTTTGCCGCCTAAATGGCGAAAAACACCAACATATGTAGTGCAGGCTTCATTCATGGCAGTTATGGGAGTTCAGTACAGCAGGGTGTTTTGTTCGGGGCTGCGCTCAGGCCTTCCTTGCTGAGCGGAAACTTGTTTTGTTTAGTTGTTTCTCGCCGGGTTGAATGAAGGAAGTAACTGAGTGCTGCCAGCGTTCAGCCAAGCGATTGCCGGGGTTACTCTGAAGTCGGGATGGCTTACGTGCCGCAGTGGGGTCCCATAAGTGGCATTGGCTCGTGCCACCAGACACTTCAGCATAATTGCTGGGGAGGAACAGCTTTTTGATCAGTCACGGCCGAATTTGTGACTCCAGCCATTTTGATACCAATTTGTAGTCCTTGCCCTTAATTCCCTTCATTTCCACGGGTTCTCGTGATTTCTCGTCACTTCTCCATGTCCCTTCGTTTCTTTCAGTTTCCCTTCGCTTCCTTTTTTAGTTCCCGTGGCTTCTCCTCACTTCCCTATTTCACTTCAATTTCCTGCATTTTTTCCACGTCCCTTGTCACTTGCTTCCCCCTTCAGTTTCCCTTTGTTGCCCTTCCTTCGTTTCCCTTCATGTCCTTTCATTTCCCTTCATACTCTTTCATGTCGCTCCAGTCCGGGTTTCTTGCGGTTCCCTTAGTTGCCCATAATTCATTTCCCACAACTTCCCTTTCATCCTTCAATTGTCCCTTCATATCCCTTCTTTTGAAGTTCCCTCCAGTCCCCTCTTCATTTCCTCACATTTCGCTTCATTTCCCTTCATTCTTTTTCGCTTTCACTTCCCATAATTGCCTTTGCGTTTCGTCTCATTTCTTCCTTCATGCCCTCTCCTTTCCTTAACCCCTTCGTTTACATCGCCCGCATGCCTTAGAGCATCCGCATCTTTTCGGATGATGCCAGCAATGCTGGGGATGCTGTCCGGCAAAAAGTCGTGAATAATCACTTAAACAAATCCGCAAATCCTTCGCCCCTTAATGCGGTGCAAAACGTATGCTCATGGTCCTCTCATGGTCGGGGGCATGGGCCGGACGACCTTATACCTGAAGGTAGCCCTCCGGGCTAGGCCGGCCCGATCACGGCCAACCTGTGGCCGGCTTTCGTTTCTGGCGCACAACCGGCTGCGGCAGCACTGCAGCGCTGAACTTCATATCCGCTAGCTCTTGCCCCTGAAGATGATCGAAGCCAAGCAGGCAGCGCCCTTTCAAGCAAGCCCGCTGCAAGAAACAGCAACGGCAACAACCAACAACAACAACAACAACAACAACAACAACAACAACAACAACAACAACAACAACAACAACAACAACAACAGCAACAACCAACAAACCAACATCCAACAACCAACAACCAACAACCAACAACCAACAACCAACAACCAACAACCAACAACCAACAACCAACAACCAACAACCAACAACCAACAACCAACAACCAACAACCAACAACCAACAACAGCAACAGCAACAGCAACAACAACAAGAACAAGAACAACAACAACAAGAACAACAACAACAACAACAACAACAACAACAACAACAACAACAACAACAACAACAACAACAACGCCAAAGACAACGACGACGACGACGACGACGACAACGACAACGACAACGACAACGACAAGAACGACAAGAACGACAACAACAACAACAACAACAACAACAACAACAACAACAACGAAGCATTAGTTTGCTTCGCCGCCGTGGAAGGCGGAGCGATTTTGAAGAGCCGTTTTTCAACACGCAGAACTGTCATCGTTTTTGCGTTTTTGAGGCACCATTTTCTTGCAAATTGTCCTGCGGGGTTGAAACATGGCATCGAAGCATGGCACCCGGCTTTTTTTGCGTTGAATCATGGGTTGAAGCATGGAAAGGACAACAGCAAACGAAACCCTGCCATACCGTGGAAGGTTCTGGCGGGTGTGCTTCCCATGTGCCAGGCATGGGTACACTTCTGAGATGACGCGCGTGAGCGGGTGTGCTTACCATGTGGCAGACATAAGTACGTTTCAGCGACATGCGCGTGGGCGGGTTTGTTGAATCATCACTTCCTCGAACATCATGGGGGGGGCTGCCGCCCCCCCCAGCCCCCCCGCTGATTTTCAGAATGTATGCAAAGCTTAACGCGCCCTTTGCTGAATCATCACTTCCTCGAATCATCTCTCTCTCTTTTTTTTAATTCTTTCTTTCTTTTATTCTTTTATTCTTTCTTTTATTCTTTCTTTCTTTCTTTCTTTCTTTCTTTCTCGCTCTCTCTCTCCCTCTCTCTGTTTTCTCCCTCTTTCTTCATGTTTATATCTCTTTATATTTTTCTTCACTGCTTGCGAAAATGCTGCGCCTGCGTCAAACTCTGCACCGTACCTTGCGAAAGTGCTGCGTCTGCCGCGAAATTGGCACCTCTTGCGAAAGTGTTGAGCCTGCCGCGAAATCTGGACCGCACCTTGCGAAAGTCCTGCACCTGCCGCGAATCTGTACCTGACCTTGCTAAAGTGCTGCGCCCGCTGCGAAATCTGTACCTGACCTTCCTCACCCCGCTGATTTGTAGAAGGTTGACAGTGATTAACGCACCCTTCGATCATCGTCACACTTTGTTGAATCATCAATTCTTCGAGCATCATGGAGGGGGCTGCCGCCCCCACCCACGCACGCGCGTCATCTCAGCACTGCACCCACGCATAGGTGGCCTTTTTGCAAAAGAAAAGAGAAATAGATGGCGCTGGTGTAGTGTGGGGTGCCTCCTCATGAATCGCGTAAGGCAACGACGAACAGGTAAACAAGCCAAAATTGACACGGGCCCTCCGCATGCACGCATGCGCAGACACAGGCACACACACGTACAAACACACGCATGAAGCAACACCATGAACCAGATGAGCCTGGTATGACTCTCGCCGCGTGCTCGCGCAAGACTGCTAGACGTGGCTGGTCGGGGGTGAGGGATCAAAAAAACTTTTTAGGCATCAAAAAAAACTATTTCTGAAGATCAAAAAAACTTATTAGGGATCAAAAAAACTTATTCTCATTGATTTACTATTAAAAAGGAAAAATCAGAGGATCAAAAAAAACTTCTTGGGGATCAAAAAATCCTTATTCATTGCGTGGCAGGCGAAGCACTTTCGCAAGGTCAGGTACAGATTTCGTGGCAGGCGCGGCACTTTCGCAAGGTAGGCGCAATGCTTTCGCAGGTCAGGTGCAGATTTCGCAGCAGGCGCAGCACTTTATCAAGGTGCGGTACAGATTTCGCGGCAGCCGCAGCACTTTCGCAAGGTCAGGTACAGATTTCGTGGCAGGCGCAATACTTTCGGAAGGTCAGGTACAGATTTCGCAGCAGGCGCAGCACTTTAGCAAGAGGTACCAATTTCGCGGCAGGCGCAGCACTTTCGCAAGGTACGGTGCAGAGTTTGACGCAGGCGCAGCATTTTCGCAAGCAGTGGAGAAAATATACAGAGATATAAGCATGAAGAAAGAGGGAGAAAACAGAGAGAGAGAGAGAGCGAGAAAGAAAGAAAGAAAGAAAGAAAAAAAGAAAGAAAGAAAGAAAGAATAAAAGAAAGAAAGAATAAAAAAGAGAGAGAGAGAGAGAGATGATTCGAGGAAGTGATGATTCAGCAAAGGGCGCGTTAAGCTTTGTATGCATTCTGAAAATCAGCGGGGGGGTTGGGGGGGGCTGCCGCCCCGATGATGTTCGAGGAAGTGATGATTCAACAGGGGGTGCGAAGAGCTCTGGAAGAATTCTATAAATCAGCAGGGGGGTTGGGGGGGGCGGCAGCCCCCCCATGATGTTCGAAGAAGTGATGATTCGGTGATGATCAAAGAAGTGATGATTCAGGAAAGGGTGCGGTAATCTCTGTAAACATTCTGAACTTCAGCGGGAGGGGTTGGGGGGGGCGGCAGCCCCCTCCATAATACTCGAAGAAGTGATGATTCAACAAGTGTGATGATGATCGGAGAAGTGATGATTCAGCAACGGGTGCGTTAATCACTGTCAACCTTCTACAAATCAGCGGGGTGAGGAAGGTCAGGTACAGATTTCGCAGCAGGCGCAGCACTTTAGCAAGGTCAGGTACAGATTCGCGGCAGTGCAGGACTTTCGCAAGGCAAGGTGCGGTCCAGATTTCGCGGCAGGCGCAACACTTTCGCAAGAGGTACCAATTTCGCGGCAGGCGCAGCACTTTGCAAAGGGCGCGTTAAGCTTTGTATACATTCTGAAAATCAACGGGGGCGTTGGGGGGGGGGGCAGCCCCCCCCATAATGTTCGAAGAACTGATGATTCAACAGGGGGTGCGTTAAGCTCTGTAAGCATTCTACAAAACAGCAGGGGGGTTGGGGGGGGGCGGCAGCCCCCCCATGATGTTCGAAGAAGTGATGATTCAACAACGGGTGGTGATGATCAAAGAAGTGATGATTCAGCAAAAGGTGCGGTAATCTCTGTAAACATTCTGAACTTCAGCGGGAGGGGTTGGGGGCCAGACATAAGTACATTTGAGCGACATGCGCGTGGGCGGGTGTGCTTACCATGTGACAGGCGTGGGTACAGTGCTGAGATGACGTGCGTGAGCGGGTGTGCTGACCATGTGCCAGTTATGAGTACATTTGAGCGACACGCGCGTGGGCGAGTATGCTTACCATGTGACAGGCATAGGTACAGTGCTGAGATGACGC